CGGCGGCGTCATGCCGCACAGCACCGCCGGATTTCGGTCTGTTTCGAGCAGATTCCCGACCGTCCCGGCACGGTGCCGGCGGCATAGCTGCCGGATAGGGTGCGTCCGGCCGGGGGGCGGGGCTGGTTAGCAGGAGAAACGCAGATGACCGGAAGACGAGACTCAGACTGCAGCGGTTTATTAAAGACCTGGTTCGAGCCATGGCCAGGACACCCTCCCCCCGCCCGCACGTCTCTCCCCTAATCTTGATTCCCTTGCAGACATGTCGGCGCCCCCGTCTCCCGCCATGAGCGCCACGTCCTCCATCTCCCTCAACACCCGTCGCGTCCATGTGCGCAAGGGCTCCATGTCCGCCGCGGACCCGTGGGGCACCCATACAGAGCTCAACATGAACCCCACGCTCTCCTCGTCGTGTAAGCTCACCATCGTGCGCGTAAACTCCCCGCCGCCTGCGCACCCCCTCGTGCTCGACGAGGCCCCTCCATCTCCCCAGCATCGCCGTCACTTCGGCTTTGGCCATAGTAGTCTTGGCCACCGGCGGCACGGGAGCAATTCGTCCTTGGGATCCAACTCGTCCAACAAGGCCGATGCCCCGCGTTTGAGCTTCGCTTCGTCGTCGTTCGCCGCGCCTGGTTCTCCTGGCGGATCTGGATCGGGCCAGAAGGACAGGCCGAGCAGCCCGACTGCCTTCAGATCCCACTCCCCAACGAGCGGGCATCGTCCCTCGTCATCGTTTTCAACGTCGTCGCGACCACGACTTACCCCGGATCAGCTGGTGAATCTCGCCCGGCAGGCCACAAACCCCCAGGCGTCGTCCTCTCCGGCACAGTCGCCCTACTCCCCCGGCAATCCCCCACCGCCAGTCCTCGCGGGCACCAGCCCCGCATCCTTCACTCCTCTCCCAGATGAGATCTATCTCCCCTTCATCGATCGCCCCTCGGAGGTGAAGACGTTGTTCAGCGGCCCGCCCTCGGGCAGGCTGCTCACGCTCTTGGCGCAGACGATGACCGGGGGCGACAAAGTGGAGGAGGATGCGCTGTTCAACACGGACCCCGTCCGCTGGTTGTATCCGCAACTCTTCTACTGGCTGACGCAAGTCGACCGCGACGTCGCGCCTGACCGCGTGTGGGTCGCGCGTGCGCGGTGCTGCGTGATGTCGCACAGCGAGCTCATCTGGGAGCGCATCAAGGGCGCGCTGGGCGTGCCCCCGGAGCTCGACACGGATGCGGCGGCGGAGGACGACGGTCCGGTGACGATCTTCACCGAGTTCGAGTTCGCGCATTCCCCGCTGGACGTCGCGCATCCCAACTCGGAAGGCGCGTTGCCAAATGAGGCCGCCAGCGACCGGATTTCGCCGCTGCCCAATACCGACTACCTCTCCTCGTCGCCTCCCCTCCTTGCCTCGGGCTCGCCCAGCGGCATATACATCGAGCCCGTCCTCGCGCCCAGTGTCGATAGCCCGGATATGAGCGTCACGGACGAGCATCTTCTCCCGCCCACCCGTCCCGGTGCCCACCGGATGCACAACATATCGGAGGATGTGCTCGAGGAGAAGGACGAAGACGCGGCCGAGGATGCAAATTCGCTCGCCGTGCCCCCGCCCACCCAATCTTCTGTCTCCGCCCCACCTGCACTGGCGACACAACCGCAGCCTCAGGTCCAGGGATTGCGCATCAGCACCTCCCCTGCTTCTCCCGGGCTGTTTGCGACCTCCCCTTCCGCTGCGCCGTTCCATGTGCCCCCACATACGCTCGACGATCCCGCGCCTGCGAGATCCCGCGAGCGCGATGGGTCCATCGGCCGCTACAGTTTCACCGCTGGAGGCAACAGCGCGCCTGGCTATGCGGGTTCGGCGGCGAGCAGCGACGTGGCGTACGACGCTGTCGCCGAGCGCGGGCCCGGGAACCCGCTCTTCCCCAGCTCGTTTGCGCGGCTGGCGCTGGGGCCGACGTTGAGTGCGAAGTGTGTATCTTTTCGAGCTTTTCCCCAACGACATCATACTGATAGCTGTGTTTGCTTTAAAGCAATCCGCAGTTGCGCTCACCTGCACCCCCGCCGCCACCGGCATTCGCGAACCCGCACGCGATCCGCGCGGGCGTGCGTGGTCGGAGAGGCGTCCCGAGCTGGGCGGAGAGCTGGGACCCGTCGAAACACGAGTATGCTGTGACGGTCGGGAGCGAGAGCAGTGCTGGTGCGATCCCGGCGTGAGTGCGCGTTGCCGGTTGGTCTGTTGGTTGGTTGGGGCCGGACGAAAATGTACATTGGGTTTCTTGGGCATCGGTGTGTTTGGGTTCTTTCTGGTTCTAGTTCTGGCTGCATTCACGTGTTATGTTTTACCCGTGTTCCTGCTGTTGTTGCTCGTCGATCGTTGCTTGTTGTATAGTGTATTATTTATGGCTCCCTACTCTTTGTGGATTACATGTACATTGCATGTTGGCATACACATCGATACTGCCCAGCTGTCATGTTGTCGGGGTCCTCGGGGACGGTCGTTCACGTCGCTCTGATAATACCATAGGTTGCGTGTACTGGAGCGGCTCTATCATAGTGATCCTTGTCCGATTGGACAGGTCTCCCTTTCCTGCAGCTGCTGCATCCCATGATTCCTTGGCTTGCGCTAGCGCCATGGGTGGCCAGATATTCCAGAGTCCAAATGTTGATCCATCCGTGACCCTAACCCCAAATGCATTTGTTGCTGTAAATTGAGGGGAAGTATGTATCAAAACTTGATTGCATTCCGGATCCTCTTCAGTCTTCTCCGTAAGTCCAGTAGTACGCGAAGGCGGTGAAAACTCAACATGGCGCTTACAGGTCTGCGCCCTCTTCCCGACCACGATGTCGACGAACAAAGACCCAGGTAAGCCCTTTGTCGAATGTTACTCAGTATACAATAGCTCATTAACGAGCAGCAGCAGACTCCTTTGAGCAGAACGATAGCCTGCAGGCCTCCGACCACATCATGCTTCCGCCTGACTACATCCAGCACGATGCAGAATCTCGCGCCCGCGCGCGAGCTCGTCTGGAGGAGCAGGCAGTGTCGGTAGCTTGCGACATCATCCTTTCAGATTTCGCCTGGACGACTACCAACGTCATTCCTACTCTCCTCGCCTCCCATCCCTCCGGAGCTGCTGCGACAAAGCCTCTTCGCGAGCTCCTTTCTGAACACAATGGTCTTGCGCCCTCCAACGAGATCCCAATCGAAATCATGGCGAGCCTCTTCCCTCATCTTGTGCGTAGGCCTGTGGTGCAAGCGACGCGTTCGAACAAAGACCAGCCCCGCCCCGACGAGCCAGAGTCCAACTCCTCGAAACGGACTCGTCTTCAAAGGGAGATAACCGCGAAGATCTCCAGCCTGCTGCTCGCAGACTTCTCCTGGGCCGCAGCCAACGTCTTCCACACCATCATCGTCTCCCATCCCTCCGGCCAGATCGACACTGCCCGCCTCCAGCAGCTCCTTTTACGTTACAATGATCTCACCCCCATCAACGCCTTCCCCTTCGAGCTCTTCGCCAACATCTTCTCCTTTGTCGTGCATGATCCCGACATATGCACGGCGACCGCGAACAAGCAGCTCGGGCACCTGAACGCTGTCTGCACACGCTGGAGGCACTCCGCGCTGTCCAGCGCCCACCTCTGGTCCCGCATCGACCTGTCGCAGGGCGACCTGGCCGCGCTGTCGCTCCAGCGCGCGCTGAATAGCACCCTTGCGATCGACATCGACCGCCCGCTCGCGGACACGCCCGAAGAGCAGCTCTCCGCCATGTTCGCGCCCATCCTCGAACGCGCGCCGCGTATTACGGAGATCAGAGCGAAGATGCAGCATGGCACGCCTTTCGAGGTGCTCCTCGCCCGCTTCCCGCCTGCGCTTCCGCTTCTGCATACTCTGGCTCTCGAAACTACGACTGGCGATATGCATTTACTCAACGAGGGCGTCCCCATCTCCGACAACGCGACCTTGGTCACGCGAAGCTCTATGCCCGCGCTCCGGCATCTCAAGTTGGCCAGAGTGCCGCTGCCGTGGACGCTGCCCATCTTCCGCGGGCTCACGACCTTATACGTCGACGGCGCGGTCGAACGCACCCAGCCGAGCGTGGCGCTGTTCCGCGAGGTGCTCGCCGCGTGCCCCGAGCTCGAGACGCTGACGCTCATCGACTCGGGCCCCATCGCGTCGCTCGCGGAGACCGTCACGCCCCCGCCGCCCGTCTCGCTGCCGCACCTCCGCGAGGTCAAGGTCGCGAACGGGCCGCTCCGGCAGGAGTTCCAGATCCTGTTCGCCGTGTCGCAGCTCGCGCTGCCGCGCGCCGCGAACGTGACGCTTTCGAGCTTCCAGCCGCTGCCGCGGCTGGAGCAGGCCACGCACGCGTTCCTGCGCCGCTTCACGACGCTGCGGCTGCGCAACGGCAGCCTGCTGTTCGCGAGCCCGCATGCGGGCGACGGCACGCTGAACATCCTCACGAAGATCCCGATGGAGGACGACTGGCATCTCGACTTTTTCCTGAATCTGCCCTGCGTGCATACTGTCGTGCTGCGCGCGATGGACGCACTGGAGATTGGGTACGACATGCGGTGTTTGATGAAGAAGCTGCAGGCGGAGGGCCCGGTGCTGTTGACGTCGACACGGAATCACTGGGGCACGTTCCGCACGGAGGGGTTTCCCTTGGCTGCGGTGGAGAAGATGTTGTACAAGAAGGAGGGGTTTAGGATGCCGGATAGGCTGGAGCTGGTCGATGTGCCCAGGACGGATCCGAGGAAGGACGCGGAGAAGGAGGCGGCGCTGAGGAAGTTGGTGGGGGAGCTGGTCGTGCAGTTTGCGGAGACGCGATGACTTGACTGGGAGTGGCTGTCAAGTTGTTGTGTGGTTGGTAGGTATAGCAAAGGCTTGTCACCCCAGTATTCGATGTAAAACATAGGAAGAGAGTTGTACGAGTGCAATTGTAGATATAGGTATGGTTAGCAATTGGAGGGAGTGTCATGACATGTCTAAGTATGTTACATCCAAGTCCCTGGTAGTATATCGGCTAGTACACCCGCCTGTCATGAATATGAGTGCGCGGGAGAGCGGGGTTCGACTCCCCGCCAAGGAGCTTCTCTTTTTTCCTTCTTCAGTCTTGGGGACTCCTTCGTATCGACCTCTGCATGAACATCCCTTCTGACATGTCTGAAGCCGGGTGGAATGTTCGCTACTCTCGGATTCGATCCCGAGCTTTACTTCCGCCAGATATACCTTATGGAACCCCAACTAGTTTACTTATTGACATCAGATACGAACGTGTGGGATTCAGAGAGAAATTCGAAAGGCACCCGCCGCCGAGACTGGGCATCTGTATACTCAAGGCTGAGTCGCGCTAATTCCCCACTCGTATCGCGTGTGGCACGACTATCTTCCCTATTATGGTCGCAACAGAGACTACATGACAGAAGCCGCTATGAACGTCGACATCGACTCTGTATTAGATACCTCTCTTCTAGACCTAAACAAGCGGCGCAACGCGGCCCACATTCCACCCGCGCTGGAGTCTGGGCCTGAGTAATGCACAGTTTTGCCGCTTGTAAAAGATTTTATCTGCAACACAAACATGCAGAGGACGATGGGCTGAGATAACAAGAGCAGTGATCATGAGGTTTCAGAAGTCGTGAATGGTCAGATACCATCTAGACGTACGGGAAGTTGTACCACCAGTGCATCTAGGATACCTTGTCCGCTTATGCTTGCGCACGTTGTTATCAGGTATACGAGGATGAATGCGGTATAGAGCGCGCCCGTCTCAATAACGATGACCAAAACGGGGAGAAGTTTATCGGTGCGTTGGGTATAAGATATTGATGAGTAGATCTTCCAAGCGATCGCAACTGAAGATAGTTTGGTCAGCGTCTGACACACTCATCCAGTAGTACGTAGGAAATGAATCACGAACTGGTGCAGTAGAGCGCACTTATGAGCGTCAAAGCGGCCCATATCGAATTTTCTAAGGATGCCGGGAGGAATACACCCGTGCCAGTCAGTATCCCGACGCCTGGGGCAGTTAGCGGCTGCGAGACAAGACCGTGCTGCTACTCACAAGTGCCAGCGACAGCAGTGATTATGGGAAACACAACCACGGCAATCTTTTTCTCGTAAAGCATGTAACAGCGCCAGATCTATGCGGTCTTGAGTCAACATGAAGGGAAAATGTGAGATAGTAGAAAGAGCGGACGCCAATCATATCTCCGAGAGCTACTTGCAAGATGAATACAGCATTCTGCACATGTTCAGCCCAGGCTGGCATTTTTACGTGCGCCAGTATCAGAGTCACATCCTCGATAACTTCTGGGACATATCGTAGAGTGAACGTCGAGATGATGGCCACGGTGAGGTACTGAATGAGATGATGTTAGCATCTGCAGCCATCGACAATAGCGTGAGTGTTTACGGTGGTTGCAAGGATTAGCATGAGAATTAGCACGAGGAGGAGCCGTTTGGAAGCTAACCTGCCCTCCGCCGCGCCGGCACGTACGAGTGTGATGATAGTGGAACCGCTGAGACACAAGCTAATTCCTTCACGAAGCTCAACTCGTCAGTGACTTCGACGGGTTGAAAAAGTGCGTACCATACATAACTGCCCCGAAAAGAGTTTGTAGGAGAGATTCGTGCCAGGCCTGACGCAGCTGGTTGAACTCGTCCGTAGGGACAAACTCAGACATCAGTGCGCGACTCGGGGAACGGGTTTGGTCACCACAGCGCAAAGCCATTTTATAAACGTCGGGCGTTATAGCGTAAGGTGAGAAAGCCAAAAAAAAAGTAAGCAATGTCCTACTCGCAACTGCCCCATCACATATGGAAGACAGAATGCCGTTAACTGAAAGAGGAGGACGTCAAATTAGAGAAGGTGACTTACCCTATAAGCATGTAAATGCAGCGCCGTCAAAGCGCACTGAAACCGTATATTGATAAGCGCCTAAATTCACAGACGTGAATGGTTTTTGTGGCGACCATGTCTCGTTGAAACGTCTTCAGGACGAAACCAGCCTATGCAGGGTCACATTCAATCTCAAAAGAGTAATGAAAGTGAAATTTTACTTGGTACCTTGCCACGACAAGATGCTTACGGGTGACGGATTGACATCGGCGTCAAGACCTGCGCTTGTGATGCGTCAATCTTGCCAAAGCATGTTTCGGTCTTACACTATTCTGTGCATTGTCTACTCTGCGGCTTCAAGAATGACGCTCTGTGCGCTAATACTATGACGAAGAACCAAGACCTCCGCACCGATAATTGTTTTGGGTTGGTGAGATCCCGCACTTCGGCAGTAGAGTAGTGTCATCGCGTACGATGAACCTTTTTGGGTTAGATGCGTGTAGGCCTGTGCAATCTCCCCATATTCAGGACCTCACCAGACCAGTTTCGGAACTTTCTGCTTCCCTACGCACCAATGTGCAATGTAAGCCAGACGAAACTTCTTCATGGATCGCTCCGGCGTGCGTTCCCCACGACCATGATCGCAGGACTGAATAAATCCTCAAAAGCCCACCTGAAGTGACTGGCCTGCACGGCCCCGACGCTGATCTAGTGATATTGACACCAATAAAAAAAATGGGCGAACGATGGCAACGCAAATGCACTCACCGGCTGTCCCCCCGGCACCGTATATAGGTCATGCGGCAAGCACGAAGCGTAATTCATACGCCATGGCTACGCTGAGGTCACGATGATTCACTGAATGGGTCCGAGACTGTCTTGAACGTCTACTGCCCCATTGCACCAAGCGATGAAGTTGCGCAGGTCCTCCATACAGACAGTAAGAAGAGAACCTATCCATAGAATAGTAGAAACGATGGTGTTCTAGGATACATATTCGACAACTGCTTTCTATTAGGAACTTGATCGGTCAGTCTACTCAAAACGAGGCGGTCCGACTGACCTGATGACACTACCATACATTGCTGGTCCTCTTAGAGCTCATGCTTTAGGGATCAATTTATCCCGCGCCTCCACGTACCTTTGTTTTGTCCCCTCCACTACGGCATCGCTCATGGTCCATCCATTTCCATCCATCCCACCCTCCAGGCCCTTGCGGAAGCCTTGCTCCTTCAGCCAGTCGCGCAGATATTGCTTGTCAAAGCTGGGCTGTGGGTGACCCGGGGAGTAGCCCACAGCTGGCCAGTATCGAGAGGAGTCCGGAGTCAGTGCCTCGTCGATGAGGATGAGCTGCTCGGACGCAGAGCCGTCGGCGCTCGGGATGAGGCCAAACTCGAATTTTGTGTCTGCGAGGATGAGGCCGCGGCTAAGGGCGTATTCTGCAGCCAAGGTGTACAATTGAACGGCAGTGTTAGAAACGCGTTCGTAGAGTTCGCTGCCTATGAGCTGCGCGGCTGTAGAGGGTGAAAGTCAGGGGAGAGCGAGAGCGAATGACGAAGTACATCATACCCCGCTCGGGTGAGATGTTCTCATCGTGTTCCCCTTGCTCTGCCTTCGTCGAAGGAGTGAAAATAGGGGTAGAGAACTTCTCTGACTCTCGGAGGCCAGCCGGGAGAGGGATGCCATGCACCGTACCCGACTTTTGATACTCAGACCAAGCAGAACCTATCAAGACATCGATAATTGTTGGAGGCTCAATCGCGTAGTAGACTGACCAGTGATGTACCCTCGGACGATTGCTTCCAGGGGTATGACCTTGGCCTTTCGGACCAGCATTGTGCGGCCAGCTAGCTGATCTTTGTACTTCTGCACTTCGGCAGGCATATCCTCGATCTTCGCTGTCGCGACGTGGTTTGGAATGACCGACCGCAGCTTGTCAAACCAGAAGAGCGATATCTCCGTGAGCAGTTTGCCCTTGTCCGGGATGCCCTAGAGCGGCGGTCACCAAAACATCGAGAGAGCGAAGCAGTGCTGCAGCACGAACATTCTTGAGGATGACATCGTACGCGGAGATACGGTCGCTCGCCACGAAGAGAAGATGATCAGGGGAAGACGTCGCGTAGATGTCGCGTACTTTCCCCTTTGAAACCAGGGTCAAGCCAGGAAGATCTGAATGCGTGAGTACAGACATGACACGATCTGCTCTAAACACAAGAAATTCAAACCCATGTCCACTGCAAGATGAACAGAACACTTACTCTGTCTGAAAAGCCCTTGTGGGATCGCTTAAGGTTCTGAGAGGAGTCAATGCGAAATTGACGAGATTTACGGCTTCACGTGACTGTAATACGCCCTAACCTCTTTTCAGGGTCTTCTGACGTGAAACCCCGCCGTATTTTTCGCTTGAAGACCGAGCTCATCGTTGAAGACAGCGTCCAAGGTTCTCCTCTATCATCGCAGCCTGTGGAGGCAACATCAACTATGGCGGATTCCTCACCGACGACGTTCTCTGCATTTGAACATATTCTTTCCCCCCTTGTCCTACGCGCTCTCGCAGACATGGGTTTCGCGCGACCGACACTCGTTCAGCAGAAGGCTATTCCACTTGCGCTTGAGAATAGGGACGTTCTTGCGCGCGCACGGACCGGGAGCGGTAAAACTGCAGCATACTGTGTACCTCTTGTGCAGAAGGTTCTGAATGCCAAATCTGTAGGTGCGTTCCCTACTTTCATTATCAAAGGTGGTTCGCTGATCTTAGCATTGTCTTACCTCCGTGAATCTTCTTACACATTCAAATTCGGCACTCGAAGAGTATGAAGCCAGAGGACGAGGGGAGGCAGGCGACTCGGGGAGTGGTACTTGTTCCGACGAAGGAGTTAGCGGAGCAGGTAATGACGCACCTAAGGGGTCTCACAAAATACTGCGAGGGGGATGTTTCTATCGTAAATACCACGAGTGGAACGTCGGCGCATCTTCAACGGTGAGAGTATGCCTTCATCTGTCGTAGTCCGTACGCTAACATATATATATTACCAGGATCCTACTCTCAGACAAGCCCGACATTGTCGTCGGAACGCCGTCTAAAATCTTGTCACTACTCCAGTCCAAGGTAAGTTTCGGTAATTGTAATCTACTTAGAAATCTCAGACATGAACTGTATGTAGGCCCTATCGTTGGCAGCATTGGACTCGCTCGTCATCGACGAAGCGGATCTCATTCTCTCATACGGCCATGATGAAGATGTACGG